CCACATCGAGCCGACTGAACTTAACTTCCTTAATTCGGCATTTCAAGGCCAACTACTCTCTGACGGAGTTGTTAGTGCTGGTATTAAGGAGATCTGGAATTAGGTTACTTAAGGGTGATTTCCCGAGAAACCCCACTTGGACAGCTAGAAACACTTGTCCGTTTTTATGCCCAGAACTCTTAGGTTCAGATCAAAAAGACCGTCGCATATCGACAAAACGCCTATAGTCTGCTACAAATTTATTGAGGCGACTAATATGAATTTCAACCAATTTAATATGGAAGTAGCTTGATGCTACTGCTAGTGAAGCCATGCACTCCTTGACTAGCTTTTAGCTCATCAGCGAACTGAAGCTCTATATAGTCGCTTCGCTATCAGAGTGAATATATACCTCCCGAAAAGAAGCTGCACTCTGAAAAAATATATCTTGATGGCTGTCACTTCAGTTTGAAGGACCCTAAAGTTGTCGCGCAGTCCGAAACAAGAGTTGATTGAGAGCTCTAGACAGAAGACTCCCCTTCCAACCTTCCCCTTAAGCTTCCATTCATTCGTGAAAAAGCTCACTGCCGTTCTAAGGATATTGAGTTCAGAAATAATAATATAATGACAGTACACAAGAGAAAGTGGTTTTAAAATCGACAAATAGATTATGGGTGTCTATTTGTTTTTCTCAATCCATTTACAATCAATAATATGGTGAAAATGATGACCCAATCGGTACCTTTGCTCTTCTTTGAGGTCGTGCACTAGGTGGCCGGAACTTTGTTCTTGTGGGATTCATAGTCTTTGACTCTTCAGTTGCAAAGATATATTTGCGCGAAAAAAAAATTAATTTTAATTTAAGAATCACTTATAAAACTATGCTAATGCATAGGGTGTATAATTTTTCTGAATTAAATGCGTAAACTGGCAAACGACGTGATGTGTTGCCGACGCGGCAAATACTTGGAACGAGTCTTATTGTTGCGAATGTCAGCGAATGCAATTACTCGGCTCAAACTGCAAAACAGTATGTTGTTATTTTTATACCCAGAATAGAGTATATTAAGTTTGCCACGATGTTTGTCACACCTAAAAGGAAACGTCAGACGACCCTATAAAGTAGATACATAAATGATAAGGAGCTGGGTCGAATTAGCCAGGTCGGTCTGTCAGTCTGTATATATGCGAACCAGTCCTTCCAAAATTTTGGTACATGTTCTTTTCCCACCAAGAAGCTGCTCATTTGTCGGAACGGTCGATATCGGACTACTAAAACATATAGCTGCCAACCAAACTGAACGATCGGAATAAAGTGCTTGCATGGAAAACTTTTTCATTTGACAAGATATCTTAAAGAAATTCGGATCGAGTCTCTTTAGTATATAGCTCTCATACAAACTGACCGAGTGAAGTTCTTGTAAGGAAGCTTTTGTATTTTTGTAGGGTATTATAGCTTCGGTGCAACCGAAGTTAATGTTTTTCTTGTTTTGCTGCATTTTAATGGTTGTTGTTGTTATTACTATTGTTGCTAGCTGTTGTTATTGTTGTTCGCAGCGCACAACACTTAAAAAAATGTGGGAACTCTGCGACCGAAACCGCAAATATTGCAGCAGTTAAAGCTTAAAAGCCTGCAAGATCACTGCTTTGCAATTCTAATTGATAATGACGCTATTGTTGTTGTATTTGTTATTTGTTATTGTATTGGTATTATTACCATTTGCTGCAACATTTGCAGAATTTTAGATAAGCTGTACAACGCTCGTTTGCGCTATCGATTGCGGTTGTGCTGTGGTTTTTGTTATTTGTTTGCGCTTAAGAATGTTTCATACAACAACATACAGAGGTGTATCGGGCCACACCCCCTCGCTGTTGCACACAAATTTACGTATTCACGTGTGTTTGACAATAACGACAATTGGATTCTTTTTTTTCTAATTTTTATGACTACTTCTGAGTATGGGTGTGTGTGTGAGTATATATGTATGTATGTCTATATTGGCTTGTAAGTACATCTGGTCACTGCTTAACTTCCCAGCACTAAGCTCTGGGCGCTATTGTTTCGCCTTATTGTTATTGGAAATTCTTAGAATCGTCGTTTGTTATTTTTTTTTACATTTTATCTATTTGCTATTAAATATTAAACGCTTTTGAGTGAGAACATTTTTTCAATCAATACTATGTTGCTATGCTGAATATACTTGTATGTATATGTAAGTAAGTGTGTTTATATGTATGTTGAATTGAAATTAAAAAAAATTACTAACAAATGACACTGCATTATTGTTGTTGTAATAAATGGCTGAAAAAGCCCATCTGAGAAGCAAGTTTATTTGTTTGATGGAGAAATATTTTGCCGAGATTTTTATTTTAATTAATGAAATTTGCTGATTGCTGCTTTGCAAAAAAAACAAATGAGCATTTGCAATTTCAGAATGAAGTATTTATGTTTATCGAAAGTATGGCTTAGATGCCCGGAGTGACCATAGAAGAATCTTGTGTGAATAAATTTGAGTTCTACTAAGAGTCAAAGATATGTGGGTGGGGCAGAGTCGCTGGAAAAGAGGCGCAGTAGGCTTTTTCACGAATGCATCAAAGCTCAAGGGGAAGGTTTTAAGGGGAGTCTTTTGGGGGAACTTTTGTTTCCAACTGCCAGATCACTATAGTATCATTCAAGCAGAAGTGGCAGCCAGCAAGGTTTTCTTTTAGGGAGGTGTACATCCACTCCGTTAGCAGAGCTGCTATACAGGCCTTGAGCTCGCTGCCAGTGGCTTAAAGCTAGTCAAGGAGTGTATGACCTCAGTAGCTGTAGTATCAAGCTACTTCCATATAAAGGGGGTATTCTGGGCAAGAGGCATGGATTTCAGGTAATTTTTGAAGTGTCTTAAAAAAAGGCAATTCATATTTTTACTATCTATTCTTTTATTAGTTATTTATTAACATTACAGGAATACAGGAAAACACAAAAAAGTTCTGGTGAAAAGGAGAATCTCAAAATATTGGCACGTGACCATACTTGTGGCATTAACCCTACAGCAATCTGAAACCAAAAAAAAAAACAAAAAAAAAAACAACTTAAATTAAAAAAAAAAATCTAAAAAGTTGCACAAACTATCCGGGTTTGCGAAAGCCTTCTGGCCCAGAGTGGAACGTAAAACGTCCATTGAACTGCTAGCTCATTGCAGGGCTCACACCGCCACAATGATAAACGTCCTAACTAGACACTGCCCCATTGGTACTCACGCGGTGAGGCTAAATCTTTTAGAGGAAGCCACTTATCAAAGCTGCAATGAGGAAAATGAGGTGGAAACAACTAGGCACTTTCTCCTCCACTATCTAAGGTTGAACAATCTCGGTTGCCATAATTTTATACACATTTTAGTACAAATCTTTATTACCGCTTCAAAATACGTTCCGGAGTCATTGAAAGCATTCCAACGCTTAATCCAGTAAGCCATATAATAATATATTATGGCCTCGGTTGTATTAAAAGTTAAGGTGTTAGTGCTGTTGTATTATCAATCATTATTATATTATAAATGCATCTCATATAAAAATCAGGTATTCTTGATAACAACGACCTCTAAAAATTTTTCTTTATGCTTCTCTTTCTTATTTAAGATATAAAACTCTATACTAATGTCTTTTAAAGTGTTGGTACTTTAAATATTCATTACAAATTATTACTGTTAGTCATTATAATGGAATGTGGGTGTTCTATGCGGCCACTCGCTTGAACTGCCAACTCCGGCAAATTTTTTATATGCCTTACATTAGTTTACCAAGTCATTTAACGCTTTCGGCCTGTGGCAATGCGTCAGCTTGGTGGCAGAGGTCTCGTTGTGGTCATTACTTATTGCTGCTTTATGACCGAATAGTTGGCTCAACTCTGTTACACCCTTTTCACGTAACTTTGGCTTGAAATATTTTGTGTGGCGGTAAAAGTGTGTTCAAGAGACATTTTTATTTGAATATTTAGGTACTTTTTTTTTTTTTTTTTTTAAATTGTGGAGATGTGTGAGTCAAAATACTGGAGTACTTAAATAAAATGAAGGGTGAATGAGAATGAAGGAATATGGTTTATTCAACATTAGAAAATGTTTCATTAAACTAATATGTATACCACGTGTTCGTGAAGAGAAAATTTGTGTCTGAAATCAAATAGCTCGTATCCATATTACAGAAATAAATTAAGAAATCTGAACCTAATCGGTCCATAATTACCTATATCTCCCATCGAAATTTTATCACTGATCAGTGTATAAGGTGACAATAGTTTTGCCACATGATAGGTATTTATTGTCGAATGGTTTCAAGTAAGCCAGATTACTTATGAAGGAGTATGGAAAGCGGCTAATATAATATTAAACCGTGGTTGGCAAACAACAATCAGTGTGATTGCAAGTCAGGATGACCGAGCTGTGGCAACTCTATAGAAATCCCTAGTAATAACGATTCAGTCGTTGTAAGACATTGAGCGTCGACGCGAGTTAGTTGTTTGTGGAAAAATAATAAAATAAACTAAAGAGTACTACAGCATTTATAATGCTAAGACAATAGTGTAATCTTCGAAGAAATTGTTCAGATGGGATAACTACGGCGTGTAGCTGCCAAACTGGTCGATCAAAATCAAGGCTTTTTAGAAAAACTTTTTTTATTCGACTAGATATCTTCACGGGATTTGTCACAGATTATTGTTCAAGGCAACGCTATAATTTCGGAAAATGTTGTTTAGATTGGACCACTATAGGATATAGCTGTCATACAAACTGACCGATCACAATCGTACAAGTATATATGTATGTATAGAAAATTTCTTTATTTGACAAGATAAGTTAACGAAATTTGGCAGAGATCATCTTATAGAGTATTCCATTTGAAACTGTGTAGTTAGTTCTCAATATGCTTTTGAATATCTGTATACGTATATTATATTATATAATATATACATATGTATAGGTACTTACTGTTTTGTATATGGTTGCAATATCAGCCAATTAAAAATAAGAATCATCTTTTCTTTTTGCATATATATAAAATTTTATTTATACACTCCTTTATTTTACAATGATATACCGTTATTTCTTCTCAATTTGCTTGCTATACACAACTGCCTGTTACTTTGTAGACATAAATAATTTACTTATATATTTCTTACAAAGCTTATGCTAATATATGTGTATTAGTTGTAAAATATAAAGTAATAAATACAGTTACTTAAAAAAGATTTAAAAAAAATTTTTCACATAAAAATATTTTCACATATAGTTGCACTTAAAAATGTCACACACATACATACATAAACACATTTAAATTGCTATATTGCCACTTAAAAATAAAATTTTATTGCATGTTTATTGTCTTTACAATGTTTCCGTTGCTGCTTATCAGCTAACTAATAACTTTATTTATAAATAATGTATAACTTAGCGAAACAAATAAACATTTAAAATTGCACTAATTTTCGAATTTTTATCTAAGCTTGGTCTAAATTGCAAAAACATACTCTGCACATACGGGGTAGTAAAGTTAGAGGTTAAAAATAAATACCTAAAAACATTAAAAATAAATATAATTTTAATGTAGAAAAGCTTAAAATAAATTAGTCGTCTATTTTAACAAGTGCTTGTGCACTAATATGTGTGTATATTTATATCTGTATATATCAGTGGCGGATCCACGACGGTTTGGGGGACAAATAAGCTAACCCTCCTCCAAAAAAAACAAAACAACAACGGAGATTTCAATTCAAATTTAGTAGAATTTATGAAGTAAGATCAGTATTAAAAATATGTTGGAAGTAAAAACTCCCCCAGAAAGAAATTTTAGATCCGGCACTGGTATATACATACATACATATTCTATTTGTGTTCATAATTTCGCACTTCACAACAGCTTTCAATAATTTTTGACGACTTTGCTAATTTCAATTTTCCCAATATACTATATGGTATATATAATACACACACATACATATGTGTGCATGGGCTTGTAAATTTCAAATAGACATTCTTTTATACACCCGCGCTTGACGTTACTAATACCAATTATAACAGAATAATTGGCAATAAAAATTTATTTGCAATTATATTTGCCGTTACACACATACATACACATAAAAGCAACCATTACATACGCTATGCATATATATATATATGTATTTTGGTATATGTGCATATATGTATATATATATATACCCTACAAGAAACTGCTGATGGGTTCACCAAAACACTCAGATTTGTTATGTCAGTACTGACGGTCAATTGACGGGTAAATTGACCGTCACTTACGATTTATATTGCTTACTAAATCTTTATTTATGTAAGAATGAAATAGCTGCATTCTTGTCACCACTGACAGTAATATGAACAATAAATGTTTACGATTTTTCCAAAAGCAAATTATGTATACGTCGAAAAGAGATGGCACACATTTCCGTAGTAGTTTCGAGAAGCTGTTAAATACCTATGTAGCTGTTATTCCGTGTGATCAACTAAAAGTGTGGAGTACTTTTGTGCAAAAACTCTTTTTGTTTAAAAAAAAAAACTAAATAAACAACGAAGCATGTTTCAAATATTATATACATAAGTTATTATGAAGTTTCAAATAAAATTATATTTTTAGCTTATTTTCATTTTAATATAGGCATTTCATCAACTGGAGAAACACCTCCTTTTGAGAGGAGCGAACATGGAATTAAATGAACTTTTCTTTTAATAATTTAATAATTAATTATATTTTTGTTTATTATTATAACTAATTTTAATTAAAAGTTTTGAATTTATTAAATTTATTGTTTTATGCACTGCGCAAAAATACTTTTCACTTGTGATAGATTTACAGTGACAAATTGCAGCTTTGATAGCTTTTCAGTCATAACTGACAATTTTCAGCTTTGATGAATTTATGATCAGCAATGACTTAGAGAAAGGCATGAGAGTGAGCAGCATAGATATATAGTGAATCTCTTCCGAATAACCATGTATTAAAGAGAGATGCAAAATCACACACCTGCGTTTATTTACATCAGTTTTTGCACAATTCTCCTAAGAAAATGATCGAAACTTTGTTCTGGGCGCTGACAAAATTTTTTCAGCTGTGACTGTCATATTACCAGACTGACCAGACAGATGACTGTCACTGTTCTTGTAGGATAGTTATTTTTAAATGTTTACATAGAAAATTACTTATTTACAGTTATTAGTACAAAACCACTATGTAGCAACAAAAATTTAATAATAAATATTTAATTGCGTTGTTTTTGTTGTTTAACGTGTCACATTTCTCAATTCATTAGTTTTTGCTTATTTAATTATTATTTGTTTATCCTATGGTGTTAATAAAATTAACAGTTATTCTTGTTGCAGACTCTTTTGTATGCGTTGCATTAATTTTCTAATGATGATTACACATTTTTGTTGTGTTCAATACATTTTAGTCAAACTTATTGCCAGCTGTCAATATTTTTCCCATTAAATGCTTTAAATTTGGACAATTAATCTGTGTGAGTACTAATAAAATTTAATTTTAATAAATACATACTTATGCATGTAAATATTTTTGTTTATACAAATCCATAAAGCTTTATTTGGTTTTATTTGCTATTTTTTATTGCACCCAACTGTTCCATTAGCGGGCGAGCGGCTATTTTTAGGTTAGAATTCTGTTAGCGTTGTTGTGCTGATTTATTTGCGTGGCGATTCTGAAAGTATTAATGTAAGAATAATATTATTACGTTATATTAAGGAGCTTAGGCGTTTATTATATATATTATATATAAGTAGACATAGTTTTTGCTGAGAGCGTTTTTAAAGAAGTCTAGGATTATAAAATATTCAAAATAATTTTTTTTTTGATCAAAGTAAAGTCTTGGGTTTATAGTACACTCCAAGAAGGCCAAATTAGTTGAATAGTGAAAACATTTTTCCTCTGTCTAATCCTCCGTCGTTTAGTACGAAAAATTTTAAATGCGTTTTTCTCAAAACTGCTTTTTCCAAGTAGGGTCGATGATGCTACTGAGAGTGTATATGGGACGTTTCCACTTGAAGTTCAACATTTTGTTTTTCACTGTTAATATTTTCGAAGATTGGCCCAGTAGTTGACATTTTGTATTAAAGGGTTAACATAAATTTTTTTTCACTAATTACATTTTTCCTTACTTCTAGAGTAAATTGCCAAAATTGGACTTATGCTCTGCACTGGTATAATCCCTGAAAAAGTTATAAACTAATCTCCTAAGAGCTTTTCTTTAAAACAGTATTTTACTACAACAAACAATAATTGTAAAAAGATAGATAAAATTTTTGACATCATACGTTTTCATGTGGGCTTTGCTAGGTTAGGTTAGGTTAAGAGGTCGACCCTAACTAGGATCTCACTTGGACAGCTTCGAACGCCGGTCCGTTGTGTTACCTAAAACTCATATATAATATAATAGATCACGCTTTGTTAGCTTAGAATGAAATTTTATCAGTATGAAATCATATTTTATATAAGATACACTTGATTAATGAAAATATATTGGCCTCTAAGGGAACCCTTAAGTGAAAACCTAGTCTCTTCTTAAATGCAGAAAATCAGTGTGGGTGTCATTTTCATTTCAGCAATATGATGTTTGAATCATTTTACTTATTATATAAAGTTACTAATTTAAGACAGCAAACTCACCTTTTCGCTCGGTGACTTCTGGAGATTTCGTCCGCGCATTTCTTGTATCACCGCTAGTTATTACATTTGTCGTTTGTTGCATTGCATCTACAGCACCCGTGCTCGATAGTGTAAGCAAACGATGACCATGTGAAGCCAAATGTTGACTCAAATGCTGATGATGTTCTGACGGCGTAGTGTTTGTGGGCCAATGGAAAGACTGCTGCGCTGTCGTTGTTGAATGTGGATGATGAGCGACAACGAGCGGTACACCATCGGGTGGTGTAATACAGGACACATATGGATCTGCAACTGGTACCAACGGATCGGACATCCATTCGAAAGAGAAAGCTGGACCCAGCGTGTGTAGGCTACCGTAATTCGAACCAAGTGTACCTGTAGGCGGCGCGCTTGTCGGTGTAGGTGGTGTGGTTGTAATACAAGGGCTAAGCTCCTGCTGTGTGGACGATGAACTGTCAAGTGAGAGTTTTTGTGCGGACTCCGACCAGGGTGGACTGGGATTCCATTGGTCGATGAAGTCAGGCGGTTCGTTGGGTAGTGACTTTTGTATGAGACGCGGACGTGTCGGCACAACGGTAGCGAATATAACCGATGCATGCGACTCGGCCGGAGCGCCAATAAGCGAATGTGGGTGCAGGTGGTAAGGTGTATCGATTTCGGTTACTGTTGTTGGCGTGTCCTCATTCGCGTCATCTGGTAGATAGAGTGGTTCCAGTTTGCCGATTGCGCGTCGCTTGGAGGGTGGCGAACTGAGGCGCTGATGTTGCGTGGAGCTCGCATTGCCATTTGTATTGATATTAGCAGCACTGTTGAGATTATGATTGTGTGCGCTGTTGTGATTATTGTTGGAGCTGCTGTGATTGGCGCTACTGCTGTTGTTGTGTTTATTATTGCCGCTGCTATTGTTGTTGTGCGTGACATAATGTGGCGTGGCAGCATTATGACTGGAGACGGAACTATTCGTGCTGCTGCAACGCATTTGTCCATCCACTTGACCATTAGAAGGTGACCGTGCACCATTCAAGCCGATCGCTGGAGCACCGATGACGCCAGGCACTTGACTATAATCGACTGGTTCCGCACCGATACGATGGTGACATATATACTGACCGACGGCTGCGCCATTGCTGACACTCGCATGTCCCGTCATCGCCATAGCACCATTACTTTGTAAATGATGTTGCAACTGTTGGCCTTGTTGACCACTCAAATGCGGCGCTGGTGAGCTTTCCGCGCTACCACAACTGCCACTCCCCACACTCATGCTGCCACCGCTGGTCGCACCGGTGGGCGTATGATATGCGCCATACGATGCCGTCGTCATGTGATGATATTGATGATGCGCATGTGTATGTGTGTGTGGATGTAGGTGTTGGTGTTGCGTGTGGTGCAAATGTGTATGTGTTTGATGTGGATGCAATGCGGCGGCATAACCCGCCGTTGCGGTAGCAGGTAGTGTGGCCGTGGTGCTGCCGGCGCCCGTGTGATGGTGATGCAAATGCGAATGCGCGGGGTGGTGTGCGTGATGATGGTAATAGACTGCCGCTGCGGCTGCTGCAGCCGGTGTTGTCGGTGGCACACGTGTGGGCGCATCGAAAGCGAGTCCGAATTGTATCTTCGACTGCACCGAATAGTAATGGTAGAGCCACGAATTGGCGAGCATAACCGAAGCCTCACGTTCGCTGTGGATTTGAGTGGAGTGAAGAAAATATAATTGCGTTGTGGCGATGTTGATTGTTGAGTTGGCAAATTGGTGTTGTTTAGAAAAAAGAAAAAAAAAATTGATTAGTGTTGTTGCTTTTTGTGGGTTAGATTTAGGTGCTAACATGAATGTGTTTTGATTGCGTGAGAAACGGAAATGAGTAGGAGAAATTAGTGCAAGCGTTTGGCACGTGTTATTACGTTCGTGGCGATTGCTGAGCGAAATAGATTGATGCGAATAAAGATGAGAATGAAATTGCGCTTACTTTATTTCGTATAGATTTTTGCATATTTTACTGTAAAATATTTAAAAAGGTAGAGTTTTTACTTACTTTAAAACCTGGTTCGTGCACACAATAACCGGCTGCTGGTTTGTGTCTTGACTATCGCGTACTTGCAGTACCACATGCACCCAAATAAAATCGCCATGTCTTCGTTGCATGCGCACCAATAGAATACAAGAGCGATCCTGCTCAGATTGAGTTACTGAAATTGAAATGAGAATGAGATATAAATTTCATAAATATATTCTTCGAATAAAAGAAAAATTGTTATAAATCTAAAAATCTTTTGATATCCCTTTTGAAATTTTTCTTAATTCGTTGCTCAAGACCTTTAACAAATTTTAGAAACATCGCTAGATGAAGTTGTCTTTTTTTGTAATCGTATAGACTACATATGAACGATCAGAAAACCAATGAATATGTACTATAGAAGCAGCATAATGCTTACCAATAGTGAGTAGTAGTGTTAACAATTTTAAATAGGTTGATATATACATTAAACTGGACAATATAACGTATTTAAATTCGAGAGCTTACGAATAAGATTAGCGTAGAATGTGGAGTAGAGAAGTATTTCGTCTTCGATGACAGCAATATTTATTAATAAATTGGAATTTAGAATTTTTTTTGACAACCAAAAACTAATTAGCTTCCGTATTAATATAGAAAATAAAGATTTGACTAGAGTTGTCTCACATTTACAAAGACAAAATAGAGCGGTGGACTTTCTTTTCGGTAATAGACAAATTTAAGATGTTCGCAATATTGTTGATTATACTCTTTTTTCGTTAAACATGCTTGGATTTTTTGTATTGCCCCCTAAATGTAGGCAGTATATTATTGTTTTTAGAGGAAAAATATTAAGAAAAAAACTATAATACTTTCAGGCTCCTAACTAATATCATAACAGAGTCCGAAACTGGTTTCAGCTGGCTAAAAAAATTGTAGTTCAGTATGTGGAAGGTCTTTCAAAAGTTAATAGTTTTAAAAATATTGCTAAAAAAAATTAATTCTGTAATTTTAAGAGTTTGAAATACTAAAAAGACTTATTAAATTAATATGTTTATTTTTTTGCACAACAAAAAGACATTATATACAAAAAAATAATTTAAAAATATTGTAACTATTACTAAATGAAAGTTAATCTTCTTTCTTTTCTCTTCTAACTACTCGAAATTGTTTTAGCTTAGAAGCTTGTTACTCATTTGATTTTGATGATTTTTATACTCACTCAGTCGGTGTTTGCTTTGCGCCTCACGCAAATTCTCCGAATGCAAGAGATTGTACCAAGAGAGTCCGTGTATATCACTTTTGCTGTAACCTAAATGAAATTCGCCGCTGTAGACAGTTAAAAGCAAAATGAGTAATATTTACATTTTAATAAAAGTAAAAAATTTAACAATAAATAAAAAATATTTTCAAAAATGCTTAGCTTTATAAATCAGGTTACAATTACATATACCTATATCAACTCACTTTTTATCGATATGTGCAATTTTCATATCCATCGAATGTATGGTGGTAAAGACATTGGTGGCACCCTGCACCACACACTCGCGCGTCTCCGGCATGGCAATGGGTGTGCATGTGGCCAAAAAGACCGGCTCGTTGCGGCTGCAGAGCGGCAGATATGACAGATAGTGACCCTGAACTAGCACAACCTGCAAGCGAACGTAAACAAAATAAATAAATAAATAAATGTTGAATTAAAAACAAAAAAATAAAAGAGATATTAAATAAACAATACCAGCTTGCGTTGCACCTAAAGGTTAAAATATAACTGATAGACTTGTATGGAAATAAAATTTAACTAAAAGCGAACGTTCCATACGCTTTTCCATTACAAAGTCATTGAGCCAATTCGAAACCGTTTTATTTACTTATTTTTTTAATTTTTATTTACTTAAAAGAAACACACATGTTTTTTTGTTGTAATTTTATATATCTGCAATGCTATATCTCACCATAGATTGGCACTCCATGCAACACACCCTTCAAATGACTAAAGTGAATGGCCGCATAGGAGGCACAGTTGGTGGCGTTTTGTTCGGCTTATTGGCCGCCTGCCAGTTTTCGTCGATAGTTCATAATTCAAAATTGTTTGGCGGCTTTTAATTTTTATAAATTACAACATAACGGTTTATTCAGTATTTTATATGCTTTAAGCTTTGCAGAGATAGTTATTATTTTTTTTTCCTATTTCTTTGAGTTATTATAATTACGATTTGTATAGAGAAGAAATGAAATTTTTTAAATTTAGTTTGAATTTGAGTCAAATGTAAGGGTTTTGAAAATTTATATTTATTTTGGGTATATTCCGCTTAAAATTCAAACAAAAATATATAATAAACGATACCTTTCATTTTTTCATACTTTTGCTTTTATTATATTTTATTTATTTTAACTTATTGTATTTTAATATAACCCAGATGAGATAAAAGTAAACTAATTCTATTTAATTTATTAATTAGTAAATATCATTTTTTTTTTAAATCAATAATTTAATTAAGTTAATTAAACTAAAATTGGATTGCCGAAACATAGTAATTTTTAAAGTGACAATATATTATACATCGCTCCATCAGAGTTACAGCTGAACCCTTTGGAATATTTATTTTTTAACCCGCGGTAATTTGGCAAATATCTTACAAGTAAAATTTTAAATTGCAAATATTTTTTGAGGAAGGTTACCACCCATTTAGAATTTTTTATTCGAATAAAAGAATTAAACAAACGAATTATTATTATTTCTGTGTAAAATGAAAGGGTTTAAAGAAAAATTATGTCACCAAGAATTTTAAGGAACGTTGGCATCCGTCTAAAATTTTATATCTAAAAATATTGATTAGATAAATGAATTAATACGACATGAGTATCACACCGAAGAGGTTTGAGATCACAAAATAATTTAATGAGCGTTGCCACCCGTCTAAAATTTGATATTTAAAAAAAGTTGATAATAAAACTCCTACGACATGAGTATCACACCGAAGAAGTTTGAAATGGCTTATAATCAAATATTTCATAGAAGAGTTGCCACCAGTTAAAAAATTTAAATATATGTAAATTGTAAATTTAATTAAATGTAATTGAATTATGGGTATCACACGAAATAAAACTTACAATTGAAAATAGTTTTAAGTAGCATTACCACCCAATTAAAATTTTTTGTTTTCATAAAATTGATAAGATAAAGAAATTATTATCATATGGGTAAGGAGAATTTAATATTTTACTCTAAGAAGGCATTGTTAGAATAATTTTATTATAAAATTGATAAGATAAAAAATTATTATCATATGGGTAATGGATATTTTACTCTAAGAAGGCATTGTTAAAATAAGTATTTTTAATAAACTGATATGATAAGAAAAAATGTGGGTATCACCATGAATAACTGAAAATATTTTGTGAAAAAGGGTTGACACGATTTTTAACAAAATATAAAAATAATAAATAAAAAAATTTTAATTCAAAAGTTGTGATATCAACGAACTATAACAATCAAAGTTTTAAACTACAGATACTTTGAAAGGCTGCTTCATGAAATTTTTTTTTGGAGAAGAGTTGCCAACTATTTGTTTATTTAATAATTTAAAAATATTATTTAACTATATGAATTATTGCATATATGTAGGCCTAAAACTTTAAGAAGATTTATTTTAAAGAAGAGTTGCCGCCTATTTAAATGTTTTATAATATAAAAATATTACAAAATATATAAGTTATTGCAATATGGCCATAAAAATTTAAACAAATTTGCTGCTGAATATTTTTCAGAGACGAATTGCTACCTATTCATATATTATACATATATTTTTTTTTTAATTATAAGATACTTGTAAAAGAGTTACTGCAATATAGGCATACAACTTTAAGAAGATTTGCAGCATGCTTCTCTGAATTTACTTGGCCATCCGTCTGTCTGTATATATACGAACTAGTCCCTCAGTTTTTAAGCTATCGATCTAAAATCTAAAATAACGTCCGTATCGGACCACTATAACATATAGCTGACATACAACCATTTATTCTCCGTAGAAATTGTTCAGATCAGATCACTTTATCATATACAAGTAGATAGTTATCATACTCTTTCATATTTTTTGAATAGTTTTCCCAAATGCCTAAAATTTTGAGTCAAACAAATTGAAATAATAAAAATTTGGTTTCGCATTCAAATCATATCATCAGTATTGGATCAAAAAGGTTGTATGATACGAGATATATATTTACGGTGATATTTTTTATTCTAATAACATATCAATAAAATTTTGTTATCTTTAAGATGTCAAAGAATTGCGATTGCATGTTCGAAATGTAGTATGTGGCATGTATTTTCGGCTGAACAAACATGCACCTGTTTCACATTTTGAAAACGCACGCAAAGTTTGCTATGCGCGCACATGGGTATTAGCTTGCCACTTGCTACACGCGCATGCGAACATTCGGCGCCATGCAACATTTGACTAATTTCGCTTTCAACGCAATTGTAGATTTTTGCGCCGGCTTACGTACTTTGTGCTAAGATTTATGCGTAAAACAGGGTAGCGGCGGCGCTGACTTTGGCGTTTTTGCTGAAATTTTTGAAATTGTTTGCGCCGGCAATGGACACGGGTGCATGACATATAGACAAATATACCGCTAAACATGCGAAATTAACAATTTATGCAAGTCGCCTACGGTATATGTCAAGAGTTCGTACATAGTCATATTTTATTTAAAAAAACTACGAATGTTTGAGTGTCCATATTGCAAGTCTGCGTTGCTTGAAGTAGAGCAGTCGCGGGTCGAAAATTTCGGTTAGGAATTTATTGCTTGTTTTAATTTGACGTTTGTAATTGCAGGTTTCGCGCAATATATTTGAAAAATAGTTGTTGGTGTGACAAAATACCTTAAATAGTATTTTAGTGATCTTTAAGATTTAACAATTTTATTTTTAAGTTGGAAAGTATTTCCAACAAGCAGTGGCGAATTTACGGGTTTTGGGGGTCACATATGCATTTTTTGTAACATTAAAGGGTATAAAAAGATTTTTATCTTGATTTTGATCGATCTTTTTAAATGGCAGTTATATGCAATAGAAGTCCGATCTGAACAATTTGTTTGGAAATTACAGTGATGTCTGCGATAATAATACATATATGCTAAATATCGTGAAGATATCTTGTCAAATAAACAAGTTTTCCCTTTTTTATTGGTCGGTTTGTATGGCACCTATATGCTATAGTGGTCTGATTACCGCGATTCCAACTAATGAGCAGATTCTTGGGTTTAAAACGACGTATACAAAACTAGTTCGCGTGTAAACAGACAGACGAGAGACGGACATGACTATATCGACTCTGCTCGTCACGCTGATCTTTTATATAAATGTAAGTATATTTTATAGCGTTTTCGGAAATGTAATGACAACCAATTTTATTGATTTTATAGTATTGTCAGTAAGTTTGGTTTTTGAAAACGGATAACAAACACTTTAATTTTTCAATTTAAACTATTGTAAATTTATAATTATTTTTTTTGATTTAATTAAGTGGCAGTATTATAAAACCTATGGACCGAAAATAAAAGAAAACAAACTTTCTCGTTCCAATTTTGTATGTATATATACTGTTCTGTAATTAATTAAGTTTTCAATAATATTTTTTAAATTTGTCGAACATAAGTATTTTTTGAAAAAATATCTACTTTAACCATTTTTGTGAAACAGTTTTTATTCCAAGTTTCTACAAAACCCAGTTTCAAACATATTAAAACACATTTTTTCAAAATTTAAAATTTTTTAAGTTTTAAAAATAAAATTTTGTTCCATTAAAATTTTTTCTTTAATATTTAAATTCTTGAAACAATAAAGTTTTTTTTATTTTTCAAAATCTAATTTTGAATATTCTAAAACACATTTGTTTTTTAAATTTTTAATTCAATTAATCTTTAGTTTGATTTTATGAACTCATAAAAATATATGAGTGATTTTATATTATTAAGTCGTTCACTGAGTATTTTCGTTTGATGACAACAGCTGATTAATTAATTTTTTCGCATTCAACTTCACACTTAAACCGCTTTGCCGTTATATATTTGAACAGCTGATCTAGTAAGGCTTGTTTGTAAAAAAATTTCCTTTAATTTTTTTGGAATAGTTTTTGTTTGGTGCCCTAAACAAAGATGGGAAGTGAAGTAATAATTCGAGAGGTTACTTAAATATTAAATTTGTTTAAGGTGACCGTTCACAAGCACATGAAATGCCTAGGCTTAATTTCGAAGCTTGACATATGGGTTCCTCATGTTCTTACAGAACGAAATTTGCTTCGTCGCATTAAAGACTGCGATTTGCTTATCGAGTGCTAAAGAAGTGATCCATTTTTGAAGCTTATTGTTACTGGCGACGAAAAGTGGGTTGTTTAGAATAATAAAAAGCCCAAGAGATCATAGTCTAAAAAGAAAGAACCAGCTCAAACAAACTACTTCGAAGTTTGATGACTCGTTAAAAGCTTTTGCAGATTGAATGGGACACCAACATTATTTTCCTGATTTGGCCTCTTCGGACTATTACTTGTTCGGGTCTCTGCCACATTTTTTGGATGTGACGTCAAAACCACTTAGACCAGTTTTTTGACTGTAAGGATCACAAATTATATGAGTGAAGAATCAATATCTT